CATACAAAAAATTCTTGTGAGTTTGCTTTGAATTATTTTCTTCTTACTTAATTATATTGATAAAATTACTATGACGTTCGAGTGAAATATCGCTCATTTTATCGACGAGGTATTTATCGTTCGATTTACCGACGGATCAGCAACACCATAAAAGTTGGAAATTGAAAATTGAAAATTTATGAATACCAATGAGTAAAAATTCGCAGGAATGCTGCAGAATCAAGCCCAGCATGGCTAATAATCCCGTCCTCACTCATTTTCAAAGCATGTGGCATCCAATAGAGAAAATTGAATCCCACCACACCTCCACTGCTCGGACCAGTCCTCGTGCCATTCATATACCATTTGAAGAAGTAAATCCTTTCATTGATGGGGTGAATTTTGAGCAAAGCAAAAGCCAGCAAAATTGCAATAGTACTAAGTAAATTTATCAATGCGGACACGTTACATCTTTCAAGGTCGCCATTTTTTTCCCTGAATTGAAGAGAATTGAAACTGGGACGTGAAAGTTTTATGAGTGTATCACTACTAGAAATGGAGGCTTTAGAGACGGTTTTTTTAACAACGGAAGCCATCCATTGCCGTTAGTAACGGATTACCAACGATTTTCCAACGAAATGTTATAAAACAATGTAAAACTACAAAATAAATGAGGTGGCAACGAATTACCAACATAATATAGCCGTCATTAAGATTTGTTTTTAATCCATTGGTAATTTTTTTAAAAAATGTATATATAAAAAATCACCATCGACAACAGTGACGTACTAATTGTTGATTGTAAAATTGTAAAAAATGAAACATTAATTGTAATTTACCAACAGATTTACTCGTTGTTAATACAGTAAACATCTGTTTGTATTGTATATATATTAATTTACTTAGTTGGTGAACAACGACACCTTATTTCCGTCGCTATTACCGACGGATAATATAAATCCGTCACTCATTTTACCGACGGGGTGTTTATTGTCCGATTTACCGACGGTTCGGGACACCTTATTTCTGTCGCTATTACAGACCACTAATATAAATCCGTCGCTCATTTTACCGACGATGTGTTTACCGTCCGAGTTACCGACGGATGAATTCTGTCTGTAAAGGTTTTTTGCCAACAGGGATTCTCTACCAAATGAGTTCAAAGCATTTCTCGATTCAAGACTTAAAAGTACCCTTTGTGTAAACAACTACGACATATACAGACAACTCAAATATTCTCACCACAGACTTTGTACCCTTATAGCAGACAATTGGATACATAAGACACATTAGAAGGTGATTCTGAACAGAGGAAAATAAAAATCAAAGAAACGATAAAATGGGAAACTATAAAATGTCATGCATCATTGAGAAATATGGTGTCTTAGAGTGACTCTTAATCCAAAAAGTGTTTTAACTCAAAATAAATTTCAGTTATGCGTAACATACCATTCGAGCAGCAACCTAAGGGAAGGAACAAACCTCTCCAACACTTCCAGATCTGTCAATGATTGTACAAAAGCGACTGGGATCGTGTAAAAGAAGACCAACGCAAACACCGAAATCGATATGACACGTTTTTGTATTCTGGGCTTCAGGAGCCCAATTTATTAGCCACATAGTGAGATTCTCGCCCTGTTGTGTTTGTGCAGAAACAGCGGCCCCCCATCTTGATTTGAATGACACGAAGGCCGTAGTAGTGACAGCTTTAGGGTCTTCTAGTTCCACGATCGACTAAGAAGCAAGGGAAGAGTAATTTTCATTAGAAGAAAATAAATGCAATTGCC